TCTTTCCCTGCCCCCCACTGACATTCCTGCCTTTGCATCACTTCTCCTAGAGAGAATAGCCATCTCCTCTCCCTTCCTCCTGCCTGGCATCTTGGGCTTGGCTCATTCTGGTCAGAGCAAGAGCATAGAAGCCATTCTCCCTTGCTGGAGTGTAATGATGTCTTCTCTGCTAATGGAGCTTTTCCCCCTTTATCCTTCAGCTTGGGGGGAAGCCAGTTCCCTGCCTAGCTGTGAGGCTTATCAAGCTTCCTTCTATTGCACTCTATCTGGGGTTGCATCTCCCTATAGAGGCCTGTTCCACTCTCTGCCATCTCCATCACCATCCCTCTCTTCATTTTAAACCTTAATTAGGTTCGCAGCAGTGATGCCCAATGCTTCTTTCTGGACTCCTTTCAACCTCCCCTGTCTTTATGGACCGAACAAGTGTATGACTTCTTGCTTCCTTCAGCTGCCTGTCCCAGACAGTAGTCTCCCGTGGGAAAGAAGAGCCACTTCTAACAGCGCCGCACCTCCCTCCGCCCTCTCTGAGCAGACCTTGCAGCTGCCTTCAACCTCACCATTGCCCTGAACTCCTGCCTCCATGCACATCTGGAGCTTTTACATGTAGACCTGGGGCCAAGCCTGCAAGGATCCGACAGCCCTGAGCTCCCGCTGCTCCATAGGAGCTGTGGGTGCCTGGTGGGATCTCTGGTCCCTGCTTGCTCCTGACTGGTAGGCAAGCCCCTGTCCTCAGGCCCTTCCAAGGGCAAACTCATCTGCTCCAGCTGGGCTCTATTAAAAATAAGTGGTAGCCAGAGGATACAGCCAAGGTCCAGCTCCCTCCCTGGGGGTCTAGGCCTAAGCAGATGCGGTTGCCATGACAACCCCATCCTTTGACACGGAGCAGCCTGCGAGTGGCAGCAGCTTACTCAGTTCATTCCCTGCAGTAGGTGCTTCAAATCAAACTCCCCAGCTGGAGGGAGGGGAAAGATCTCTGCTAGTGAGCAGCCTGCAGAGCCCTCCCAGGGAAGCAAGCAGATAGCAGGCTATCCCCATGCAGGGTGGAGCTGCGTGTGATCTATGCAAGTTGCTGCTGCCTGAGGTGGGTACCAACAATGATGCCCTCGGAGTGATATGGGATGTCCAAGTAGCAGGAAAAGTTTCAAAGCTGTTTACTGCCTAAAATCAGTGACGGCATCACTTCACTGGAAAAACAGCCCCTTGTGCTTCCCATCCACTTCCCCCACCCTGGCATTTGCCTCCTCTCAGGAGGGACTTTCCCCTCCGCCTTCGACCTTGCACTCTAACCTTTGCCACAAGCCTAAGTGAGCAGCTAATGGAGTGTGAGGGCTGCTCAAGCACCTATGCAAAGCCCCACTACAACCCAGTCCCGCAGCAAAAGCTGCCACTTGCCAGCCTTCCACCACCCTCTCCTGCAGGGCTGACCCAAGCTTGCAGAATGATCTCGTCTCATCAGGGTCTCCCTGATGCCATGGGGGCACATTCCTGCCCGAGTTCACCTCAGTCTCCATTCTAGGGCTGTTTCCCCAAGTGCCTTCATCCTCCTGCCCTTTAAGATCCAGGTTTATGCCTTCCCACTAGGCAGAAACTAAAACCCCAGGGAAACAGCACCTGGTATAATGGTGTGCCACCTGGGTGGGCATCCAGGGACTACTGCACTGCAGCTAGGACATGAAAACTGTTCAAATGGTCCTTCAGGAAACAATCTCCAGCCTCCTGTCACAGACTGAGACAGGGCTGGCGTTAGCCCTCAGGCTCCCTGTTCTACTTGCTCAACAGATGAGTCAGTGTTGCACTTTGTTTTCCCCACCAGCTCCACATGGGCAGAGGATTAGCTACTCTTCAGCAGTGCCATCCAGCTGGGTTTTCCCCAAATCCACCCCAGGCACATGCAGGAGAACAACAAAACAAACTGAGCAGCACCCAGCATTCCCAGGCCTGGATTTGGCCAGCAGCCAGGATGGCATTAGCTCCAATAGGCAGGTGCTAAACTAGCAGAAAAGAGGGGAAGTGGGAGCATTGTTGTCATGAGGTCTGGGGGCTGTCTGCCATCAGAGAACACCCCCCAGCAGCTATGCTGAGGAGCCGGGTCAGAGTCTAGTCACTGCTGGGCTTTGCAACAAAACACCCGTTTAGTTCAGGGCGGCCTGGCCAAGGCATTTGTTGTGTTCGCTGCCTCTTGGTCCTGCATCACACTGTTCACAACGCTTGTATTATTGATACTTGGGGAAGGGTAACCACTGTGAGCCTCTGGCATGCAGTGCCCACATGGCTGGAGATGGCTGCACTAATGGCATCAATGGTGTCCGTAGCACACCACCCTGGGGCACCAGTCCCTGCTTAAGCTGCTCATTTGGGGCTGCATTCTGCATGGGGTCAAGTGTGCTGGAAGCCACTTGGCTGAA